TGTAGATAATGAGAGCTTAAACAAGTAAGAAATGTATGTAAAAAAAGGCTTAATTACGAAACTGAAGCTATCTTTGAAATCGTTTATTAAGTATACACTGTCTGAAACAGAGAAGAGTGCTTTACATACTACTTCTGAACACAGATACGACATTAGCATTTTATGATTCCCGTAGTCTCAGTTATCAAATGTACCTTGCGAATACTAATTGTATTAGGAAGCTATTGCGGAGTGTGACAAATGATTTTGACCGCTTTGGTCATAACTACTACACGACTACTATTGACCGAATGCAACAGAACTGAACTTCTTAGTGACCTCACTTATTCCTTTACTAGCCACTAGGGTATGTGCTCACCTTAGTGGAGTAACCAATATGGCCTTCTTTAGGTGAATAGTTAGGTATACAGACCCGATAGCTTGTCTATGATTGTTTGAATGTCTGCAGTATAATGCCGTTCTATGATTCATATCATCAGTAGGATAAATACCAAAATTGTCACCATTATTCCTACTATCTGTTACTACTAATAATATGTGGGTAGTTAATATCTGCATACTTTACTACCTTGCTACATACCACCACCTCAACATTTCACCTTGATTCTATAGTTGAGGAAAAACTATGCATGTTAATCTAAAGCCTGATGAGAGTTAACTGATTGATGACTTCCAACCTTGAGCTTATTCTTTATGTAGGATGGTCAGTATACATACTCTTATTTCACAATGAATCATTCATAGCCAAAAATATTTATGTTGATCTGAAGATTCTGTTGACGAGTTCATAGTGATCGCACAGCCTACAGTCGGTTCGTTCATTTGTGGTCGAGACGCTCGACTGCGGTGTAACCGGAAAAATTGAGCTCACAAGGATGAATTTTCATACCAACGGACGGGGTTAGCTTCGAGTGAGCGGAACAGACGTCAGGTGTTAACATCACTCTTATCTGACTAGCGATATGTGCGGGTCAGCGTGAATGCTCCAGTAGCATATAGAAAAGAAGTGTCCTTCATGTCAATTTTGGAACTTTTGATAATTTTTGTGCAACATCTTTATATCTTTCATAGTGAAGCTTCATAGAAGAAAAAGAGAAAGAGGAATGGGTGAATCTGGTGGTCACAAGTCTGCGGTTTTCAAATTAGTTTCAAACATGTCCTCAGTTTATATTCCAAGAGGTATATAGAATCATGCCACCTTACTGAGAAATACAATCAGTCAATATTCGACTGTTTACCATCGGAATCTTGGTACCATTTGTAAACTTCAGTTACCGTAAAACTATTTCCTTCACTGAGTTCTGTTAAGTGAATTATTCTACAAATTTATTAGACATCCAGTTAGCTATGAATCTTTCAATACAATAGAGAAGATCCAAATTCATTCCCTCATCCTTTTCTTCACTCATGCTTTATTAGTAGGTAATTCAATTGGTTGAAAATTAGGTATTTGTCATAGCAGATTGTGTCATTGTAACGAAAACAAACACCAGTCAGATTTCAAATTCTTTAATAATTCTATCCTTATCCAATTGAAATGAATCACCAAACATATCCACCATATACCAGCAGCTACATCGGATCACAAATCAGTGATCAGGTGAATTTAAACCTTTATTCTTAGACTGAACAAAATTCTTCCACTCGTTTTTATTTCGTTTCTGACATATTCTACTGTATGTGAATATATTTTCTTTGTTGAACTGCTCGCATCGTTTCCAAGTCTACTGTATAAACAGCGAATCATATTTAAGATATAATTCAAATTACATTGACACATCAAGAAAACCCATCAATTTTGAGTTATGATTTTTATCGTTCTGGTTCTCGCGCCCCTTTCTTCGTATAGATTTCTATGCGGTAGATTTTTTCGAATATCCGGAACAGGTGCAGAATCATTCCTATGGTACGCATTTGGTGTCAATTTGAGAATGCTTGGGATGCGTTTCTAACCATCCAAATGCAAATTGTTGCTCCAGGATTGGTCTTTAACGGTCCCACAGAGAACAATAGACAGTGTAGTGATTGAGTGTGTCGACCACTTCACTTACCTGGGAAGTAGGATCAGCCCCAATAGATCAGTGGCCGATGAAATCTATACACAGATACAAAAGGCTCGGCTGGCTTTCACAAACTTACTCAACCTGTGACACCGCCGTGATATCTGATTGTCTATTAAGGGTCACTTGTACTGCACAGTAGTCCGATCTGTCCCGCTGTATGACTGTGAAACATGGCCATTGAAGATGGAAGACATGAGAAGGCTTCAGGTGTTTGACCAGCACTGCCTTCGTAGTATAGGCCGGCGTTTTCCGTGGTGTCACCACGTGAGTAACGCACAAGTCAGGTGTAGAGTTTCAGGGAGAAGAGGTAAATCAGTTGGCGAGGTTGTGAACCTTCATCGACTGAGATGGTTGGCTTCGACACGTGTTACGTATCCCTGGTCACCGATTGCCTCGTCACACAATGTTGGCCGAAGTAGGTCCAGGCTGGAAAAAGCCTGAGGCGGCCAGACTAAAACATGCACTAATGCATGAGGTCTTTGGTTGTTGGTTTGAGCCATGTGAGGCGGTGCAGACTGGCCGGTTGGGGTCTGCAGAACAAGAGGAACAAGAGGTGGTGGATTCTAGGTGATATGGCTCAGAACCAATGTCAGTGGCGCATATGTATCCCCACACACATTATCCTAATCTTAACGACACTATACCGAATCTCACCATTTTCTCATTCTTCCTTTCCCTCTTTTTGTACTTCATATTTCTTTTGACTGGATTTCCTTTTCTTCATCTTCCACTTCATTGCCTTTTTACTTGATGTATTGATATGAGGTGTAGCAACTCGCACCATTGGCAGTAATGCCTGGTCCTATGTTGATGATGCATTTGGTGTTGACTCGATAAATAAGAATTCGGTTGCCACTATCTCACTTTACTCCGATAAGCTGGTCTCACGAATATCACTCAGTTCCATCCTTTCTTGCTGTGTGCAATCGCAAGCATAGCAATAACTGAGTTTATCTTCGGATTCCTTATTTTAATACGATCTGCAAATATTAACTTAGCGAATATTTCGTGCGCAACAAAGATCGCAAGCGATTCTATAAGCTAAATTTCTTTACCTAACTGGACTAACGGGATCCTTTGATCTACGCAGCTTGTTTACAGATGAGTTTGTCGGTGGGAATTTCACTATAATGCCAGCCGTATGGGGAATCTTACGTAACGTCCCTCACTTGCTTACATTGTTTGGTATCACCTTAGAAGTCTTGAGTTCACACTTCGCTTATCATCAACATCAAATATGTGCAATAGGAATGACTCAGCATCGATCCCAGATATATGAAAAGTCCTACCATCTACGTCACAAAGACAGAGGCGACCGGAATAAAAGTAGGTTAAACATGTGTCAGCGTAGCGTAGTTACCCCCATGTGACTATGGAAAGTAAATTGTCTTGGTTGTATTATGTTCTCTGAGCTGGGTTGTTTAGTCGTGAAGCTTTCATCGTCTTTCTAGACGACATCATCTGTACTAACTTCAGTATGAAGTAAAGCATGTCCTAAACCCTACCCAGTAAATATTAGCTCGGTTTCACTGTGTGATGTATCTGATAAACAAATATCAATGGAATTGAAGATCTGCGTTGAGACAGTTGATACAACAAACGGATTGAGCAAGGCAATGCATCTTTTGCCACCGAGATGTTTTCATCAACTCTTTGTATAAATTATATGTAGGTATTATATTACATAAGATAATACCACTTAAGTGTTGGTGGTGTGACCGATGAAATTAGGATTGCTAGAAGTGTGAAAAAAAGTAGATTACAATTTTTGTAGTTATTTCTGTTGTTTCATTGGCTGCATAGTAATTCATATGAATTGTAAAGAACCATGAGGCAAGTGGTCTTGTTTTAGCAATAAATCACTGTATAACAGTTGGGAGATAGATAGATAAGGAAATTGATAGGATGATCTAAATGTGATAGACGGTTCTTTGTTAATAAATTTATTCTTATCTGGATAGGAAGATGAAATAAATTATGGGTAGACACTGATTCAGCTTGGTGGTCAAATGAGTAATGACAGGGGTTGTACAAATTTCTTCTAAATGCAAAGATTCGGTTCGCAAAGGTGCATAGTGTCCGTCCTTTACTCAGCCACAGTGCATAGTGTTCAGATATTCTACGGTAAGCCTACCTTATTGCACGTATCCTATGAGTAACTATCTCCACTCAACCAGTTAAAACTGATAACTATGTAGGGATGGAATTGCATTCTCCCACGGTGCCAAAGTTTTGCTCTAACTTCAGCATGAGTATATTGTAAGACTTTGTTAGAGGGAAGCGTCAGATTTGTTACACTGAATTCATTTAATTTTGATAAGAAAAATTTTATGATGCTGTCGGCTACTTGTACAACTACATTATCAATCAGTTATTAGAAGTATTCAGTTTCATTTCAGTTCTTTTCTCTTTTCTTTTAATTTACAGATTATACTGGGGAATGTAGAAACTACAAAATCAGCATACATTTCCTCTTCTGGAAAGCAAAGGACTGTATATATTAGGCGCTTTCTTAAGCTACTAACGTGAATATCCAGAAAATGTTCCCCATGACTTCCAGATATATCTTCCAATGATGACGATAATGTCGATGACAACAAGAATGCTTTGATCATGTATGCTTATTTCGACGCTTGACTGAAGCAAATTATAAACATTAGAAGTTGTTTGTTTCTCCATCATGATATTGATCCTGAAGTATCTCTTTGGGGTCAGTAACAACACTTCATGAATTTCGAGGTGATAATCATCACGGATGGACATTACGTGAACAACTATAGAAAGTCTGCAGCACTGGACAGTTGTTTCATCGTCGACCCAACCAGCGATCAAACACAAGAACTCCAGTTCTCATGGATAGTGCCAGTCCATCATGAACACTATAGCAAGACAAACAAATTCCCAGAAACACCCAACTATGCTGCTTCACAAATTTGTTCATCGTTCTTCGTTGCCCCATATGCTGCCTCCTAAGGAAACATTCTGAAATACTTTTGAATGAAAACAAATCTTCAGCATTAGTGATTCTATATCCCACCGATGGTGATCGATAACTGGACACACACGATTTGGTGCTCTTATAGTAGTAGTAGTAGTAGTAGTAGTAGTAGTAGTAGTAGTAGTAGTAGTAGTAGTAGTAGTAGTAGTAGTAGTAGTAGTAGTAGTAGTAGTAGTAGTAGTAGTAGTAGTAGTAGTAGTAGTAGTAGTAGTAGTAGTAGTAGTAGTAGTAGTAGTAGTAGTAGTAGTAGTAGTAGTAGTAGTAGTAGTAGTAGTAGTAGTAGTAGTAGTAGTAGTAGTAGTAGTAGTAGTAGTAGTAGTAGTAGTAGTAGTAGTAGTAGTAGTAGTAGTAGTAGTAGTAGTAGTAGTAGTAGTAGTAGTAGTAGTAGTAGTAGTAGTAGTAGTAGTAGTAGTAGTAGTAGTAGTAGTAGTAGTAGTAGTAGTAGTAGTAGTAGTAGTAGTAGTAGTAGTAGTAGTAGTAGTAGTAGTAGTAGTAGTAGTAGTAGTAGTAGTAGTAGTAGTAGTAGTAGTAGTAGTAGTAGTAGTAGTAGTAGTAGTAGTAGTAGTAGTAGTAGTAGTAGTAGTAGTAGTAGTAGTAGTAGTAGTAGTAGTAGTAGTAGTAGTAGTAGTAGTAGTAGTAGTAGTAGTAGTAGTAGTAGTAGTAGTAGTAGTAGTAGTAGTAGTAGTAGTAGTAGTAGTAGTAGTAGTAGTAGTAGTAGTAGTAGTAGTAGTAGTAGTAGTAGTAGTAGTAGTAGTAGTAGTAGTAGTAGTAGTAGTAGTAGTAGTAGTAGTAGTAGTAGTAGTAGTAGTAGTAGTAGTAGTAGTAGTAGTAGTAGTAGTAGTAGTAGTAGTAGTAGTAGTAGTAGTAGTAGTAGTAGTAGTAGTAGTAGTAGTAGTAGTAGTAGTAGTAGTAGTAGTAGTAGTAGTAGTAGTAGTAGTAGTAGTAGTAGTAGTAGTAGTAGTAGTAGTAGTAGTAGTAGTAGTAGTAGTAGTAGTAGTAGTAGTAGTAGTAGTAGTAGTAGTAGTAGTAGTAGTAGTAGTAGTAGTAGTAGTAGTAGTAGTAGTAGTAGTAGTAGTAGTAGTAGTAGTAGTAGTAGTAGTAGTAGTAGTAGTAGTAGTAGTAGTAGTAGTAGTAGTAGTAGTAGTAGTAGTAGTAGTAGTAGTAGTAGTAGTAGTAGTAGTAGTAGTAGTAGTAGTAGTAGTAGTAGTAGTAGTAGTAGTAGTAGTAGTAGTAGTAGTAGTAGTAGTAGTAGTAGTAGTAGTAGTAGTAGTAGTAGTAGTAGTAGTAGTAGTAGTAGTAGTAGTAGTAGTAGTAGTAGTAGTAGTAGTAGTAGTAGTAGTAGTAGTAGTAGTAGTAGTAGTAGTAGTAGTAGTAGTAGTAGTAGTAGTAGTAGTAGTAGTAGTAGTAGTAGTAGTAGTAGTAGTAGTAGTAGTAGTAGTAGTAGTAGTAGTAGTAGTAGTAGTAGTAGTAGTAGTAGTAGTAGTAGTAGTAGTAGTAGTAGTAGTAGTAGTAGTAGTAGTAGTAGTAGTAGTAGTAGTAGTAGTAGTAGTAGTAGTAGTAGTAGTAGTAGTAGTAGTAGTAGTAGTAGTAGTAGTAGTAGTAGTAGTAGTAGTAGTAGTAGTAGTAGTAGTAGTAGTAGTAGTAGTAGTAGTAGTAGTAGTAGTAGTAGTAGTAGTAGTAGTAGTAGTAGTAGTAGTAGTAGTAGTAGTAGTAGTAGTAGTAGTAGTAGTAGTAGTAGTAGTAGTAGTAGTAGTAGTAGTAGTAGTAGTAGTAGTAGTAGTAGTAGTAGTAGTAGTAGTAGTAGTAGTAGTAGTAGTAGTAGTAGTAGTAGTAGTAGTAGTAGTAGTAGTAGTAGTAGTAGTAGTAGTAGTAGTAGTAGTAGTAGTAGTAGTAGTAGTAGTAGTAGTAGTAGTAGTAGTAGTAGTAGTAGTAGTAGTAGTAGTAGTAGTAGTAGTAGTAGTAGTAGTAGTAGTAGTAGTAGTAGTAGTAGTAGTAGTAGTAGTAGTAGTAGTAGTAGTAGTAGTAGTAGTAGTAGTAGTAGTAGTAGTAGTAGTAGTAGTAGTAGTAGTAGTAGTAGTAGTAGTAGTAGTAGTAGTAGTAGTAGTAGTAGTAGTAGTAGTAGTAGTAGTAGTAGTAGTAGTAGTAGTAGTAGTAGTAGTAGTAGTAGTAGTAGTAGTAGTAGTAGTAGTAGTAGTAGTAGTAGTAGTAGTAGTAGTAGTAGTAGTAGTAGTAGTAGTAGTAGTAGTAGTAGTAGTAGTAGTAGTAGTAGTAGTAGTAGTAGTAGTAGTAGTAGTAGTAGTAGTAGTAGTAGTAGTAGTAGTAGTAGTAGTAGTAGTAGTAGTAGTAGTAGTAGTAGTAGTAGTAGTAGTAGTAGTAGTAGTAGTAGTAGTAGTAGTAGTAGTAGTAGTAGTAGTAGTAGTAGTAGTAGTAGTAGTAGTAGTAGTAGTAGTAGTAGTAGTAGTAGTAGTAGTAGTAGTAGTAGTAGTAGTAGTAGTAGTAGTAGTAGTAGTAGTAGTAGTAGTAGTAGTAGTAGTAGTAGTAGTAGTAGTAGTAGTAGTAGTAGTAGTAGTAGTAGTAGTAGTAGTAGTAGTAGTAGTAGTAGTAGTAGTAGTAGTAGTAGTAGTAGTAGTAGTAGTAGTAGTAGTAGTAGTAGTAGTAGTAGTAGTAGTAGTAGTAGTAGTAGTAGTAGTAGTAGTAGTAGTAGTAGTAGTAGTAGTAGTAGTAGTAGTAGTAGTAGTAGTAGTAGTAGTAGTAGTAGTAGTAGTAGTAGTAGTAGTAGTAATAGTAGCAGACAAGATTGAGTGCCTATTTGTCTGCATTGAAGGAAAGCGTGCGTTGACTACAATCAACACTGCAACTGCGTTACCTCACAATCGATCTACTTTTCTTACTAGTTGATCCTACTGTGAGACATTCGTAGAGAGATTATACGACTGAATAATCACATTAGACGATGTTAAGTGACAACTATTCGAGAATTCTTCAGGATTGTATTCTGTGGTGGCGAAGTTACCGAGGATATATCTAGATATATATGCAAATCCAGGCATATGTGATCAGAATTTCATTGAATGGGTTCATCTGTTCGTTTGCCACTCAGTATTACAAATCGGTCAAATATAAAATTACTTTTTTATCCAGACTGTACACTTCACATCTTTGTGGGTATATGTAAGCTCATTTTCATGAATATAACTAGTCTATGGCAAGACCTAAAATTTGAAAATGAATATTGGTTAGTTTAGAGGCTGAGTGAGATACGGTATGTCGATTTATATCGAGTAGGCACTGAATATACTCCTGAACAAGCGAATCGATGCAGAAGTAATCATTTAGAAGGAGATGAAATTCATAAGTAGAAGTAATAATATCAAACGGGCAAAAAATTGGAGCCAGAATATCAGTTTCTGCGGAATAGCATGCATGCATTTTATTTCGGGGTTACTTATCGTCTAATAAAAACCTAAAATAATAAAGAGACAGGTAGACTCAAATTGTTTATGCTTCACTAGAGCGGTAGTTACACAACGATTAAAACTGCACCTGTGAATTAAAAAAGAAAAACTTATCGATCTACACCATATACAATCAAGAATATTTTGTTGTGTTTCAGAGACTCATGGTGCTATGATACATCATCGTCAATTTATGAACCTTTATCATTATTCCATTCTCCTCTTCTGATGGCATGGCCAGAATATTCACCTTTTTTCCTTCAACACTGACCTATACATACATATTTTACTCATACTTCCTTAATATATGGAATACATTTCTGCATCTCCCCATTTTAGTCAACTTCCGCTCTACAATATTCGTTGAATCCTTCCGTGTATACCGAAAAGTCTAAGAATACTTCCGATACAACATTCACTCACATCGTAATTCTTCAGGTGGGTCACGTTTATGACATCTCTTTTGCAGTCCGAACTGATTCAAGTATGTAGACATTCTGCATGAATTGATGTTAAAATTGTTTCTTATTCTAAGCAGTTGATAAGAAACTGTAAACTAAAAAGGAACCAGTGCCGCTCTGCGGAGGTTATTTTTTTAGCTTCATTTAAATTTATTCAGAGGGAAGAAAAAGTATGTGGCTACTGCAGAAACAGTAACAACATTTGTTGAATGCTTACTGCTCGGCGCGTTGTTTTTTATTGCGGTCGTTTAGTATTCTGGAAAAATTATTCAGTTTTTCAATTTCATTGTACTCACTTGAATTGACTTCACGAACCGCCAGTGTTGCAGGTAACTTGATCATTAAACTCCCAAGTTTTTCGAGGTTTGTTAGACAGAAGAGGTTCAATTCCGAAATGAAGAATAGGTAAAAAGCTATTTACCGTAACCGGGCTCCATGATCTCAGCCGATTCATATATGTAAGCCGTCAAATGACATAGGTTGTAGCAATGCTGTCGAGAAACGAACCTAGTAAGCTTTCAGTCATTCTTTTGTAATATGTGTTTAACAGAATCGGTTTCGTCACCGAATGTATATGACGGTAGAGTGAGTGACACACTATACTTCTTCGATTCTCTGTCACTTGTCCATATCAACTCTTTCCTAAACCAACCTACTCTTGTTTGTAACATATTCACTGGTTGAAAATAGTATAATAATTCAACAGCTTTACTTGAAGGCAGAAAGGTATTCAGAGTTCCAAAAAATGTATATATTGTAAGCAGACGAATTTTAGAGGTTTGATCGCGATAAAGCGGAAGAGAAGTAACTACCAAGTATAAACATGACCTGATTGATCTTGACATGCTGAGGTCGATTACCTTGAATGCATTCTGAAGGTAGATTCGCAATACAATGTCTGTTCTGGTACTGATCGTGTAATTTCTCAGTTCAATTAAGGGAGGAAATGATTATCACAGTAGAATGATGGCATTCAATAAAATAAAATCACCTCGAGATTTGACCATTTTTTCAGTAAATAAAAGAAGTACATCGCAGAGTGTACACGGTTCTCAGAATATGAGAAGATGGATAGGATTTATGTGACTTGAAATCCTTACCAACTATAAGGTGCCTATAACATTAAGAAATCTATCTTTCTGTTTGGTACCTTGTCAGCCACATATCAAGTTTTGTAAAGAAAATTGAACTGAGACAGCCCAGCTGAGACTTAATTTGACAACCTTTACATGTATATCTAAGATATAGGCCACAGAAAAATATGAATTCTTTTTCCAATCGTGGATAAATATTTCCTAAAACAGTTAAGAAAGAAATATTCAATTGGTTTTCGAGAGCAATTTCACAATTGAAACAAAAAAGTAGAAAGACGCTTTCAGTTTCTAGTAGAGAAGGAAAACATAAACACAATGAGAAATGCAAAGTTCAATGCATTTTATGGCAAAAGAAAAAACCCAATACAGACATCTCGGTATATACCATACAGACTTCATTTTCTTGATTTCATTTACAATGCCTGAAAATGTTTTTATCGAGCAGAAAAATATTTCAAGAGACGTGAGCTTAAAGTAATAATTAACAGTTTCAAGGTTTGTGTTGATTGACTGACTGATATCAAGGTGGTGTTCATCACTGAGTGATACCAGAAAGGGAATGACTGAAAAACTGAGAGTAAGGGACAGCCCATTCTACCTACTGTGGCACTTCTAGGCAGTCATCAACAATATATATATATATATATATATATATATATATATATATATATATATATATATATATATATATCAATCTGCACTATGATGGACTATAATCGGCGTTAGGTGGTCAACTGCCATTGGCACGAACCCCTTCTTCATATACAATTCGTGCATGTGAGCATCCGTTTGAAAGATATGTACACAAGATTTATCCACTTGATACCCCCTCTGAGATTCAAACCAACGTAATTGAGTGCTGCAGATAGAACTTCAGTACTGAGCTAATCAGACCGTGTTTGATTTCCTGAGTGACTCGAAAGGAGATTACTGGAAGTTCAACTATAACACACTATATACACCACTAACACCGGAATTAAAGAGAGGAGCACATTGAAGTACACCATTGCGTGCTAATTCCATGTTTGATGTGTATCTAGCCCGTGTACACAGATAAACGAAGGGAGACTTCCTTGCGAAGAAATTGTGATTTCTTTGTTTGTACACCTTAGCATGCGTTGTTTCCGGTGCTGACGAGCATTCAGTAGTAAGAATATGCTAACTAATTCAATCTTAGAAACTGTCAACACTGAAAATAATTCTAAATTCATATTTAACTTTTACAGTATGAAATGGGAACCTTTGAGTTTCTAAGGTCATGTAACTGTCCTGAGTATCTATCGGAGTCAAAGGCAGTCGATAAGTACTTAAAATTCAAAGCTAGTCTGGCAGAATCAAGAATATCTGTCAAAGTTGTGAAAGGCTGTATTAAGAAGAATCATAATCTTACACTTTATCGGGCTTCTATACCTTGAAACATAATTCCGATCAGTGAAAAAACCTTAATTGCACGTCTTAACTTAATCAGCTTGAATTGATACAGTTACATGTAACACAATTGGAAATAAACAAATCACAGTAAATTTATGTACTTCATATTCCTGAAGACTTGAGATTACAATTTGCTGAATACATCAATCAAATTTCACAATCGAACTCTGAAAACAAAGTCCAGAGAGTTACATTCACAATTATTCGAATGTAATCCTTGATAAATTACAACTAAAGGTACCGTCTATTGAACCTACATTTTGTAACATCTGCAAACAAGTCATTCAAAAGAATTCGGATGTACAGTTTGAGCACTTCTTTTCACAAACGACTGACATTTGCTTCATGTAATACAGAGCTAGGAAGATTTGAGTCGATTTTAGTTGATGGTTGCTATCAGTATAGAAACAACAGGAATACGCTTAAAGGCATATTAACTAAAGAGCTTCGTGAAGCTATTTAAAAGCTAAGAATAAACAAGAATATTGCTATCATTGAACCTGATGAAGAGGGTGGTAAGGTATATGAATATATAAGGTTATATGGGGAAAATGAATTCCATATTGAAGACAAAACACAGTCTCAGAGTTATAGAGCACATATATTTGCAAATTATCAATGAGTTATAAGTACTGATTTCTAAACTTATCACAACCTCTTGAGACTCGCTTCTTTTAAGAATAAAGCCATTTTAAGTAATTGTACGTGTAAATGGGAAGTAGTGACAAGTGTGATAATTTTCATGCATGATGATAATACGGCAATCAGTGTCATAGTCAACAGCCATTGATCGGTGAATGTGTGTGCATCCATAATTACAACATTTTGTGGAAGTATACTAAACTTTCTGAAGTAAATGCTAAGAAGGTCAACTAGTTTGGTGTTGACAAGTCGAAGAAAAAGCCTCAAGGCTCGAAGAACACAAAATAACTAGCAACCTTATTTGGACTATGTAAAGTAATGATGGGCAGTAGCTAGCAGTGGAATCCAGGATGCAAGCAATAACACTAAACCTATACACGTTGCACAGGAAGTGGCTATCGTGGCTCGGTGGTGTAGTGGGTGACGCTATGGCATTTGGTGTGGTCGCTTCCTAGTTCGAGCTCAGGTGGGAACAACGTCACTCACTGGGAGGCAGGTAGGTCCGGCTGACGGGTCCCAAGTAGGGTGGAATGCTCATCCTGGGTTCCACTGCCAATCATTACTATACATAGTTAAAAGACAGGCAATATCCAGACGTCGGCATAGGGGCCCATATGCCAACAGAGACTGATCAGTTCGGTCCAATCAACGACGGTGTAATACAAGCGCTAACACTGAATCACGTTTTGAGTTACAAACATTTTTTACTATGTCAATCTTGAAATATATCCGTTGAGAAATTGATTGACTGTTTTGGCAAAAAGTCACAATCCATCTCGCCAATTATCAATCCAGTCAAATGAATATCATCCATATCACTGGTATTGATCACTTCAGTGTACAAATTCGAATTCACATGAACTTTTCATTTTATAGGTATAATGATCATTGAGAACGTTCAGACCACAAAACGACCTCAAAAATTCAAATTCGAAATAAGATTTGGGTATGTCTAAGTGGTTCAACCAAAGAAGTGTGAAATGGTGGTCAGCTGAGAAACTAGCCAAAAATGTCTCTGGTGAATGACTGAGCGCCAAATTCGATGAAGGGAAAATATAGTGGGATACATAAACTGTATTTACATGACGTCATTGATTTTATTCAACCATAAACAAACACGGTTGCATACTTGAACAGTTCGTTGAAGTGTCGATGAACAAAGAAGGCAATCAAACTGAGATGATATTGTTCCTATTCAAATCAACAAGTAGAGTGGCGTTCAGCTAGTGTATTCCTAACCGTGGTTAAGTGAATGCAGGCAAACAGGTGAATTCGGCCAGCTATTTATCATTCCTGAAAAGGATTGACAGACATTCTTCTTCTTTTCAATTAAAGGAAGTGACAACTGTGACAGCAGTTTGTATACGACAATTCATCGTGGTGATAGATAGTTCTCACAGTAGTCTAGACACAGAACATCAAAGTTTATAGTATCATATGCCATGGAATCTCAAAGGGTACCCATTTATGTAAAAACTGCTGTCTCCTACACCATGGAGCTTAAAATGAATTCTCTCTTATCCAAACACATTTTTTCTTGTAGAGTGACAAAAGGAGTGAAATTTGTCAGTCGTTGATATGGTTGTTCATCATAGTTCAAATGCAGAAATGTTGTAAGTCACTGCAATAAGCTACGGAAGTAATTCAAAACGGTCACTGGACACTATTGTAATGGCAGCATTGCAAGTTTGGAAGATGAAAAATGTGGATACCAATTTTGACGATGTAAATTCTAATCAAGTTAAACAGCAGGTGATACAAAATATGTCCAGTGGCGTAGATTTTCGAAGAGATAGTGTGTGTGTGCACAAAAGGTTGTCCAACTGACTGTAGTGCAGCATTCAGATAACTAGAAATCTGAAATTATGGTAAATTACGAGACTTGTAGCACAAGACTGAAATGAGGCAGGAAGAAGTGAAAATGACAAGAATGATAACGACGTCTGATACCTCCAGTGTGCCTATGCAGTAAGCATGAGTCATGGAAGGAGGCAAGAAGACCGGATAAAATTCTTCCACATCGTAAAGTTCAACTGAAATGTATACTGATTGGAGCTGATTCGGTGAGCAATTCTAATACGTAACAAGAACTAATGAAAATAGAGTGGAAGTAGAAGTTATAGCATAGGGAATTAGAGAAACCAGTCAAAAGCTATAGTCTACTAATGATATAACACTTCGACTCTGAATGACACATCTTGTCTCCTGCGGAACAGTGGAAGAATACGAGTACGATCCACTATGGAAGTGGTTGTTTTGATCAACAAGATAGTCGGTGTCAAATAATTGTAAATGCTCTGCGACAGTTGACGTCTGCATCCCCACTTCAACCAAACAGGTAGACGCCTCACAGCAGCTTCCAGCGAAGATCTTATGGTACCATCAAGGTGACTCAGAGGAGAGGAACAGTCGGATCCATAATTAGAGCGTTGTAGAGACATGCTGAAATCTGTCCTTCAACCGTACTCGGGAGGATGACACAATTAGAGCAATTAATCTGATCCTGGCTGCTGAGAATAGCCTCACCGGCAATCTTTATTGCGCATCGCTGAGGTGGTGCCATCAACCGGATATTCATTTTCATAATCACTAAACATCGAGTAGAATCTCCCCTCTCCTCAAACGGCGAAACTACTAATTCGTTTTCTAGCCTTTGTTCTCACCAGATACTCCACATATCTTCTTACGAGGAACGCTTCTAATAGTGGATGACACTGCTTGCTGATACTTTGTCTAAGTGTACAATAAGATTACACAGAAGCATGAAGATCCTAACCCTCTGAAACCTTTCACTAGCAATTATTTTGCGTACAATTTCTCGCCGTCAAATAATTTCTTGATGTCTAAGCTACTGCATCACCGTTGTTCGTTCAACTGAATTGATCCGGCACTACTGGCTTATGGACTCCTGTGTGGATGCCTCAATATTCCAGGTGTTTTTCAAATTTGATACTATTGATGGATAGTGGCTGGCAGTGGGACTGATCGTTTCAAATGCCATTGCTTTATCCACTGAATCACCGAGTCACGATAGCCACTTATTGTGTGACTGAGGGAGTTATAATGTTGTAACTTGTATTTCCCCGTCGCTGAGTGGACCGAATTGATCGGTCTCTGTTGACATATGGGTTCCTGCGCGGAGGCCTAGATGTTGCCTGTTTGAACTATATAATAATGATGGGTAATGGGTAGCCACTATCTGGCGCTCTGCTGTTTGAAGCAGTCAGTTCCGATTTCGAGTCCTAGTGGGAATAATATCGCTCACTGGGAGGCAGGTACGTCCAGCTGACGAGTCCCAAATAGAACGAAACGCACGTCCTAGATTCCACAGCTAGCGATCATTAACATATGATCTAACTAGGCAACATCGAGGCATTCGTGTAGGAGCCCATATGCCAACAGAGACCGGTCGATTCGGTCCACTCAACGACGGGAAAATACAGGCAACAACGTTGTTTAATCCAAGTAGAGAAATAAATGAGAAACAGTCACTTTGTTATTAATACACATTTTATAGGTATTTAGCTTTACTGGTACATCTATGAATATAATGAAACCTTACAGTTAATTTTACAGACTTCAGGATCGAAATATGACCTGATTGAGTTGAGTAAGTTGAGAATTGGAACGAAAGTCTAAATTCACCGAATTATCGTAAACCAGCACATTAAAACCGATATCTTGGTTTTAACTCAGTACACTTATCAGTGCTAAACTTTCCCCTTGCTCTGAACTTATTCAGGCGGGTCACAAAGTTCGTCATGAATGAAGATGACAGACAAACGGGAGTGAGAAACATAACAGATTCAATATTCCACTAATCGTCTAGAGAACGTCTTTCAAAAGATTCAAAAACATACGCAGAAGGATTCAAGTGAAAAATCACATGATGATTCCTGGATTAGCACAGTAGTCCTACCATTTCGTCAACGTACAACTGGAGCTACAAAGGGTTTTAAGAAAACACCGAGTTACAGCCTTCTATAGGACAACCGAAACTCTCAGGAATGTTTGAGACCACGTAAAAGATAAAATTCTTCTTACCTCCTCACAGAATTGTGTCGAATGTGATAACAACTATATTTAGGAATGATCCCGTGAGATCCTCATTTGGGCTAAATAACATGCAAGTTACACAAAACGACCATTTAATAACCCTGTATAAACAAGGAATTTACAAATCAAGTCGGTAACTGCTGTTCATGCCAGCTTCAGGAGCTCTTGAACAGTATTTTTTCTCATAAATCTCATCGATACTTATAGAAAACAAATCCATCATAAATGAGCTATTCAAACATGCATTTCACACGCACATCAGTAGTTTTCTGAATGTGTTTTAATTTAAAGAACTTTTAAACTACAAAATATTGAATATTCAAGCAGTAACGAGCCATCCACATAGGTGTCTATCTGCCAAAAGAGGTCGAGAAGTTTGACCAAGTTCGGAAAACGGAGTAAGGCTTAAATTAAGGCATGTCTGCTCGAGCTACTTATTAGTTGTAAGTAGCGGAAATATCTTGCTGCAACTTTATAGTTACCAAACATACAAGCATTAGAGTGAACCCATGTTCCTTCTAGTGCGAATTGTTTGCCTAGAAGCGAAAAATGATTACTTTTATCCTCTGATGCTGCATCCTGTGAACGTAGCAAACAAGATACACCTTTACATATCGAATACCAAAGTGGCTTACGCCAATTCAACCAATTCTTCGTAAGGTTTTAAAAGAGCAGCTACGCAACAGCGTTATTTTTGCATATCATATTAAAAACCGAAATTCGTTTTCCCTTCACCAACTTTGGTTTGCGAGTTACTTTGTGAAATTCAAATTTCTGCTGTATTGCTTGTAGTTATTTGTCTGAGTCAGACCCTTTGCTTCCCTCTAAAAGCCATGTAGATAACAAACAATGATCTCAAAGTTACTGGTAATGATAGACAAGGAAGTAGGTCTAAAGAGTTACTCAATAAATGACAACGCATCATTGTAGTTTATCTAATAAATAAACTAGCATGAAAATCGGAGTCTTATTTCTGAAAACACAATTGGCGTCAAAATAAACTACACTATTCTCATAATGATTTGCCGTAAGCTCTGCTTGTTGCTTAGCAAATTTTTCTCATAAACAAGTTTAATTTCATCATTAGTGGGACTTGAAACATCCAGTATATGAATCCCAAGAAACTGTGTTCATATTTCAAATACAATACAAATACTCATGTAAATTGTGGTTGCTGAAACTACTAGAACTACCAGTGACGAAAATAGTAATTCGTTCACAGGCATCGGTGTAAGTTTTAATAAAATTGTTTATAACAAAGTGCAAACTTTATTCCAGAAATAAAAAAAGAGGTTTACAAATGTACAGCATAAATGTTATATACAGCACTTGAATGTCAGAATCTATCAGATGAACCAGTTAACAAAGCTCTTTAGCTAACTGACAACATTCACTGGCCGGTATGTGTTCAGCAATGGCGATTGCATTCGCTAAAATCATGGTTTCCCTGGCAGAACTAGCTGTTAACCAAATTCGTCCATTTGCACCCATGAACACTTCAAAAGGATAAACCTACAAAATTGTAGAAAATGATTCCAAATAAATCTAGTTGACAGGAACCATATACAAAAACTGTGATAAGGTTATACTTAAACACAAGTTCTTAATACTAACACGCTACTGATAGAAATAACCTCGCCTAGGTAACTAGTTCACTAGTTACTAGCCGCGTCCTAAGCTCGGATGCAGGGGAAAGTTTGGGTATAGGGCTAGCAACCCTGCCCCGTAAAACGAATCCAATCGCTAAAGAAACTTCAAAGCACAAAGAAAATATGAAAAATAAAACCAAACTTATTCCTCACTGGAATCGGAAAGGCAAAATGACGCCGGTTGGTGAAAGCCTTCGTGAAGCCAATTGGCCAATATGTCTGCTCTATCTCTCTCGATGAAAGCGGAAGTAAACATGGGGACATGGAATGTCTGCACAATGTTTCGACCTACCAAGGCTGCCCGGATTGCGAAAGAGATGAGAAGATATAGCATAGAAGTGCTAGGAATCTACGAAATCAGATGGAATGGAAGTGAACTCTTCAAACTGTTAGCTGGAGAGTCAATAATCTACTCGAGCATTGTCACACAGACGACAATCACGACCACAGTGAGTTTTCAAGTGCGTATCATAATGTGCCCAACAGCATTGAAGGCTCTCTCTTTTGCAGTGGGAACCAATCACCTGCTGCAGGATCGTGACAGCAAGATTCAAATCAAACGGAAGGAAAGTCACAATCATACAATGCTATGCGACTACAAATAATGGGGATCGAGAGAAGGAGGGATCCGACAGACAACTTCAATCAGTAATGGACAAGACCCCACCCCAGATAGACACATTGAAATTCTAATGGGTGATATGAATGCCAAACTCGGAGCGGACAACACAGGAAGAGAACCAATCATGGGTCAAGAGGCACTCCGTGAAATGAACGTGAATGGAGCCCTCCAACAAAACCAGCAGCCCTGAACACCATGAAGGTGCTAAAATCCGGGAAAGCAGAAGGATCAGATGGAATTCATCCAGAAACACTGAAAACACACACACGCACAGACAACACCGAACACGCTCACACCACTATTGCAGAAGCTTTGCAAGAAAGGGAGGAAGGAAGGAAGGAAAGGCACCTGCTGATCGATTAGAAGAAGGGCTACCTTGTCAAACTCTCTAACAAGGGAGACCCAAGTCAACACAAGAACTGCCACAGAATCATGCTCCTGTCACTGTCACTACAAGCAAAATATTATGCCGCATCATCCTGGAGAGATTAAAACATGTGCTGCATTCAAAATTACAACCGGGACAGGCTGGCTGGCTGAATTCAGGAAAGACAAATCATGTGCCAATCAAATTGCAACGCCACACCACGCCACCCTACGCATCATCATAGAACACAGCATAGCATAGCATAGCATAGCATAAAATGGCAGAACGGCAACTCCCCACCTCTCTACTTCATCCACTTTGTAAAGCCCTTCAACAGCGTCGACCGAGAAGTAATTTGTCAACTCATTCTACACTACGGTTTCAGTGCCACAAACCTTTGTCAACTTGACTCAACAGCAGCTATATGCTTCATGATGCTGCACGACGAGTGATTCACAATAGAAAACTCAGTGACGCCTTTCAAGTGGAAGTGAAGACAGGAGTAAGACAAGACTGTCGCCTACTATCACCGATTATCTCCCTGATTGTGGTCCACTCAACTCCACTCGATTTGACTCAACTCAACAGGATCATGTAACAAACTGTGAGAAGATGGGCATACACTGGCTAGACCGATGCGATGAAAAGACCCTAGGAGATTTGGATTTCGCCGCCACCGCCACAACCACCGCCAACGATGATGATGATGATGATTCATGCCCAATGCGTAATGTCGCACAAACTCGAAGATCTACAGGCAAAAACCAACAAGTTGACAGAAGAGGCAGGGCAGCGAAACAAGACGCGACTTCCTTCAAGTGAATGTACAGAAGACAGAGGTGATGAAGATATCCAACCAACCAACCAACAGCAACAACAACAAGCACCGATCACCATAAACGGGAGAAAACTAAAGGAAGTAGTCTCTTTCACCTACGCCTACACCTACCCAGGCAAGGCAGCATCCTTTCAACTACAGGCAGCGAAGGCGGTGGCCGTAGCGGCGGCGGCACAGATCAAGATGTCAAGGCGGTCGGGGTCAGAAAGACAGCAAGACAAGACATGCCTTCCTGCACTAATCTGAAACCAGTGTGCACATCTACTGCGCTCCACTCTACTGCACTGTACTGCACTGAACTGCACTCAGCATGAAGCGTGAACAAGATCCTTATTTTCAACACCAACGTCAAGTCAGTGCCTCATCAATACCTGCCGCCTACACCCATGCTCACTCGATACTGAATATCAGATCACATGGCTAGGAAAAATAAGCAACAAGGAACTCTGGCTGACTGGCTACGAACCAACTAAGAACCCATCGCTTAACAAATATGCAGAGAAAGTAAGTGGAGATGGATTAGATCGGACAAACACTGAGAGGACTATTCGGGGACATTATGCGCCAAGTTAAGCCGTTGAGTGGAATCCAAATGGGAAACGACGAGTTGGGCGTCCGAGAGCGACATGGAGGAGATCGTGTGAGGAAGAAATGAAAGCTTATGGGGGTCGCGGAGCCAGGTTGAAAAGACTGCAGAGAACAGAGTGAAGTGGAGACGTGCTACTGAAGCTCTACGTTCCACTAGGAACCCAAGGGACGAATAATAAGAATAAGACCAAGGAATCTCGTCTTTACTAATCTCCAGTGTTGACTGAATTCCATCGATCATTTTGCAATGTAGCCACAAAGCTAGTGGGCTCACCGTCGCAGTCCACTTTGATGGGTGCTAGCTGTCCCAACCAACTAACATCAATGGTTCTTTTTAGTGAAAATTTGTAAACTCTATAAATACGAAATAACCAAATGCAATGAACTCGAACCTTGGATAGAAGTTGGAGTAGAGGAAATTCATCTTGATTAGTGAGTCGTCGGATTAAGTCTTGAGTACAGTGTAATAATATGCCACCAGATCGACCTCCAGCATTTCCAACTGTTCCAGGCTCATGACGACCAAGAATTCCCATTCCGCAAGCCTTACCCGCTTCATCTGTACAAGATAATTCGACTTCTAAATCTGGAAAATTGAAGTATGAAATATGAAAAAATCAGTTCAGTAAGAAATCTATCCTAAACATCACTTGTTACGCTAAGAATAATCACGTGTTAGAGAAAAAAGCCAACACCCTTCAGTGGGTTTCTAAGGTCACAAAAACAGCTGTTATCAGTAAAAAAACAACAACTCAGGTTACAACTAATTTGATTGATGCTTACAAGTGATAACGATTTTCTTTATTGAAATGGTGCAGGTATGTTTAAATGTATTCCTTTTGTCACCACGAACACAACGATAGTTTTTAACGCATCACTGTAGAAGATAACGCACCCAACTTAATGTCAGACAATAATTCATGGTCGCATGAAAGAATGAAGTACAGCTTTTGTGACCGCTATAACAATGAGGAGGTCCTTAATACCAGTGATACTGTGACTCGTTTCCAAATTACTCCATCCTTGTTCCATATAACCATTTATTCTCACTGTAAATTTATTCTAACCTAAACTGATAAGTTAAGAGCGTTAATTATATTGCATAACTAACTTAAGCGAGCCTAACGGGAACAATACACTTTGACACCATTTCTTATTAGGTTTTTTTATTTGATATGGCACACGGTGGTATTGTATTATTTGCTAGACGTTTCGAGGACAGGTTGACTCTCATGATTACATAAAAGTAATCACATCTGATTTTTAGAGTTCCACCACCTCGTATTCTTTGTTCCCAGTGGTATTGAAAGTTTTCCACATCTCCTAAACAGATGTTGCATTATTCCTATCCTATATGTTGATTTGATGAACGAAGATTCAGTAATTAACACCTTTATCTAACAATTGATTTTAGTAGTTACTTTGATCCAACTCACGGTATGGTTGTATCATTTCTTACATTGCAGCAGCTGGTTTTTTTAAGACCATTGAATTTAGCGGAGACTATCATTCTAAATTTAGCCAATTTACTTAGCAGTGAATACCTAACTGACCTAAATCGACTGATTTAGCCTATATGTTAAACTTACAATCACTATATGGTATATGTTAGATCAAACTATTTCTTCTAATTAGGTCTATAGGATCCTTGAGCCGACAAAGTTTATTGCTAGATGAATTTGTAAGCTTGAATGCCATTTCAATTCTAGCCTTGTTAATAATTCTACGCAAAGCTTTTGATGTTCCTTCCTTACAATGATCGCAAAAAGAACCTTGAGTTGCAACACAAATAAAAAGGAGTTCAACATCTAACACATGGGATAAGAATAACACAACACCTATTTCAGAGATGTGTAAAATCTTTAATAAGATTGGAAACAAAGAATACGAGGTGATAGGACTATCAAAACTAGATACTGTGATTATTTTGATGTGATCATAAAGTCACTTGTGCTCGAAACGTTCAGCAATGCTGTATCACTGTGTGCTAGATCAAATACACACATTCAATAAGCTATTATGTTCCAACATAGTGCCCGAATTTCATACAGATCAACTTTAATGAGAATAAACACTCTGGAACCTAAAGTGACATCTGTAAGTTAAACGTTTTAAATGCGAGATTCCTCTACAATCACAAGATGCAGAAAGGATATTTGAAAACTGCTCAAGCGGTCGATATATCGAAGTATCGTTAAAAAAAAACTACGAAAAAGTATACATCCAGTAGATAAGGCAGTCAGATATGCATTAAGTGGAACTAGGTCCTGACTTGTACAATGTACCTGAAAAGAAGGCTGGAATATAAACCAATCGGTGGTCGGCTGAATAATAGGTGTAACTACACAGCAGTATAAGATAAAAATTAGTAATGGAATATCCCTCAGAATCATCAAGTCGTACTAAGTCTACCTACGACACCTAACTTAGGTACAATTAACTGACAGTTTCATTTTAGTAATGAAATATGTAACTGCAGAAAACAAGTACCGTGTAGTTCAATAGATCCTACCATTGCCGTACTTGCAGGCAACTCCAAGAACGTGTACAATACCAATCACTCCACAGTGACTGCTGAGATCAAGAATAAACACTCATAACATAAAATTTACGTAGTCTCTATGCAGAAATCCTGAGTAATATAATGACTGGAAACATGGGGTTCCTTAAACATTTTTCGCCCCATAATGAATTCAACTTATCAGTCAAATGTAGGAAATATTTACAAAAGATTATTTAGTTCGGTAAAGGAATCATACAAAAATCCCCTTAGCAAACTAGGAATGAGCTTAATGAATATGATAACAAATTCATTAAAAGAACTCTCTCGCAGAGAAAAATATCAGATCAAAATATGACTCCAGCATACGTAGACCAATGTTGTATCGAGTATCTGAATGAAAACTTAGTGAAATAACACATGCAAACATATTGTTACCACAGTGAACTGAGTAACGATAATAGATGAACTGAATGGGTTACTTCAAAAAAATGTGACATAGAAAGAAAACAGTGTGACAGCAACAACATGAAAAAGAAATTCCCTAACAATTTCTAATTCATTCAAATCAAGCCTACTACAAACTGTGTAAATTTCCTTAAAATGTAAAATAAGATATAAAAAATATACTCTAAGACAGTTTTTACAGTTCGCAAAAATTTCATTAAAAAACCTCCAAGAATGTCTGGACGAACTCTGCAAATAGTAGGAGAACTTTTAACTAGGATCATGGAATAGTTACACTCTATATAATCTAGAATGAATGAATATTCTTCTCAAAATAAAAGTTTTATATTAAAGTTAATTTTATTTTCGATTGTAAACTGTTCGAATCACTCCAACCATCCGAACAAAGTATTCTCCGGTTACAGACTATACAAAGTACATAAATGAGACACATCTCTACGAACACTAATGTATCAACTTTATATACTAATTAAAAGGGAACACAGATTGTAGTTTAGTTGTAGCCGCTTTGTTTGGAAAGTCATGCTTTAATGTTTAGAAATAGTTCCATCTGAATGGTTTGCAGTCGTGCAGAAAAAATAGTGTGTACCTTTGTGTATTCATGAATTACACCCTATAGTTTGCGTAACCATCTAGCATCACTAGCCTTTACACAAGAGGTTTTTCGCATAGCGAATTACATAAACCGACACATGGTCCCCGAATTACATTTTACCGAAGGCAATCGACACTTTGTCGAGGTGGTCAGGTTTACTAGTCGTATTAATCCACTCAAGTTATACTAGTATATATGCTTGTTTCCAGTGTAGTTGCAGAGTTCTATTTATTTATGCACTCTTTTTGTGAATCAACTAAAGGAAAATAAGTGATACTGATCATTTTCTGTAAATCTGTTTCAGTAACCAATAACGTTTAGCAACCACAAGACTTGGGATGAAAAGAGACTCTTTGAGCTTGGGGTCAGAAACCCCTACCGGTGGAATATGATAATATTGTGTTAATATCACAGTTATTATGCAGTATACTAGATGTTCATTACATAAATAATATTCCAAAAACTAACCAGTGAAGAAACGACAGTGTTTGCTGAAGTTTCTACTTCAGAGGTATCTTGATGTTTCTGTGATTTTAAGCCTCAAGGTTGGAATAACTGCCGATTTGAATAGTTTAAATGAACTCTGAAACCGATTATACGTATCACAAGACATACTAGGACTCCAGGAACGTTAACAAAGTTATAAAGCTGATCACTAAGATCTGACTTAGTAAAAAGTCACTAAAAGAAATGAGAATTAGCGGTTCTTATCTCCAGACGGACATTATCTGAAGCTGGCAGTTGTGTATATAGAGATTACCGTAAACATGAGCACCAGCCCTGGAGAAAATCTGTCCGTAAACTTATGACTCCCAATGTATGTGCATCGCTATTATTACTCCTAAGCCTAATGCAATTGTTCTTTTAATCATAAGCATGACGAACTGACGTTATCATATCAGATCGTTTTTTCTCCTATTTTCTATGAATTTAATCGATACTGTTACTTAGATCCATGTAATGTGATGAAATTTATAACCGCATACCGAAAGCTAGAGCAGTATACACCAATTCATGTCATCTTTGGTAACACATGTCGGATGTACAGGACTTCGGCGCTAACAGTTCTGCTCCGCGCTTGTGAGTACAAGCGGAGAATGGCTGATGACACCACTTTCGAGACTGGTTGAGAGAAATGGAGATGAAGTGGTCCCATGGGATATAGGGTAATTGTAATAGGTTACCATATGTAGGTGCCTCACGACCCCTTGGATGCGGTTAGAGTAATCATGTAGCAGTTTTTTGTTTTCGTTTTATTGAAAAGCTAAGTTAGGGTGATAAAAGCTTTTATGAATGTATCAGTAAAACTGTTTTATGACCAACCCATTTTCATTTTCGCTTGTTTCTTTCGTTTTTTTCGCGTGTTATATCATTTTGTATGTACGGTGCCATTCTTGATGCCCACGTTGTATGATGTTTGTGTTCTAACTTAATAAATAGTAACATAGCACCATTCAAGTTACTTCAACAAATATTTCACCTTATTTGTTAAACATTAAAATAGGTCGTCATAAAGGCCTACTAATGAAAATAATAATATATCATATTTGATTATTGGGGAAAGAAATTTATTTATTCAATCACGAAAGCTTTAAAGCAAACGCAACGTTTTCATGGCATTATACGATAGGATGGATGCAAGTTTAACTTCGCAACCGAAGTGATCGATTACAAATAATGAACAGTTTTCAGTCCCACATGTGACAGTCTGTACACGGAAAAGCAATCAGTTAAGATATTTCATAAGTTCCGTAAGGCATTCATTTTATCAGTAGACAAGAGAAACGTTAAGTTCATGGTAGCCATCACTGAATCATGTAGGAAATAAGTACATAATTGATTAAGAAATACTCACCTCTATCAGCTCGTGTTATCATTGCATAAAGAACATCACCTGCATGAATATCAGGACGGTTCTTTTTAGAAGAACCTTCAAAGGATAGGCAATTGAGAGTAGCAGGAGAAGGGCAACCAATATCGACCACGAAATTCTCACCAGCCCTTTTTGTTACAATACCGATAACTTTGTCCTCTTTTTGAAATTGACCCACATGACAACGGTATGAGAGACGACTGAGTGGAAGCAATGTAGTTACTGAACCAGTGGAAATTAGGCACTCAAGCCAAATAAAATTTTCCTCCACATTTGATGCTGAACTATTGGATTTTAAACGCTTGAATGAATTCAGTGATTCCGAATTCCCCACTGTTTTAGATTTGTATTTCAAAACCCCAAACTGTAAGAAAGCATGGAAACATTTAAATATGAATAGTCATAAACCTTTTATATTGTTATTTGATAACGTTCTAAAATCAAACCAGTATTTAGGAGATAGGAATGTTAATTTTGTGCTAAATAATCTTTGTTTCATTCTTCAAAAAAACTGTCCTGTTGTCTTCGAGTATTCTGTTCGATTAGAAGATAGGAATTCGCTATCATTCACTTAGATGAGTTGACAATTCATCTACTGCAATGTTAAGTGGATATATTATATCTATGTGGAGTTCACTCAACTAATTACTAATTGTGCATATAGCACCTTGGCTTTGTTTCGCAGTTATAAAAGTACAGAACTTGAAGACTGAAAATGCTGAAGTAAATGTTTTCCAAAACACAGATAAAATATTAAGCATGTTAGATAACAGTAGATAAATTGATTATTCATACTAAATTGTAAGGGTTAATTCTATAAGTGTTATTCCAGAAATCAATCAACTGGAATATATAAAAAGAGCGACAAGAACTTATTACCAACTTTCAAATGATTGTATCATACATTTGTGTGCTGAGGAAAAAACTGCCGAATTACTAGTGCTGGTGTCTCCAGTCCACATGAATTCGGAAATAGGTTAGAGCTAAGACACGGAGCGGTTGTGTTGTTTAACCAATAAGTAGAGTTAGAAGTCAAACAAAAACGAAGTATGAGTGGCCACATGCGGATATCTCTTGGGCACTACGGTCAAATAAAATCAGTTAACTTTCTTTTCTAGGTACCTCTAGATGAGGCAACTTTCAACAGTTCAGGTAGCCAGGAAGTGGCCAACACTCGCAATGCTCATGACACTACAAAACTCTACCAGTAGTAACTTTTCGTTACCTTTACAGCCTGATCCTGTCATCAAAATTATAGCCTTTGCAGTTCCTTTAAGCGTTTACTCTTCAACTATTACCAACGAAATAAGTCAGCGGAATATCATCTCTAGACTCATAAAGCCATACGGTAAATATCACATAGGAGCTCTCAATACACGAATCATGTAGGAATTCTGAAAACAGGCCCACTTGCCAAAACTCTAGAATCTCAGAACATGGATATAAACTCTCAGAAACAGACAATATCCAAGCGTGGTTATTCATCCGAACCCACTCACCAAGCGAATAAGATGAGTCTTCAAAACTCACCTTGCAAATATCGGGGAAATCCGATGGCGAGTTGGCGTGGCCAGTCAACCAATATACCGATGGGACCCAGCAACACTGCTCAGTGGTTCAAACTGCCACAACTCACATCAATATAAAAGTAGAGAAATTGGGAGAAAATTGAAGTCATAGGAAACGAAAAGGGATTCAAACAAATAACCAAACATAATATGGTGGTTAGGATATGAATAATGTCTGATATCCACACTACTTAGACCGACTCAGAGTCATATCATACACAATCTCCGACCATCGATTTCGGTTGCAAAGTGGATCCCAACAGGGAAGTCTACATTTCCACAGTAGTTCTTTTACTACAGTCGGGCAGGCAAAACCAATGTAGAACCTAGCACACAAGTGCATGGGTTCAAGCTTTAGCACTTCCCAGCAACATTCAAAGAACGAGTGGGTAGAAAAATAATTGTATCAAAGTAGACAAAAGTATATGGGAGGAGAAACAATTAAAAGATGGAGGTTAGTGGAAACATTCAAGCTTTAGAAGACGTCAGAGAGTGCACCACTGTGACCGATTTCCAGCCATGTCACTAAAAGTCCTCAACCACTGATTCCTATGGTCACGAGGGTCCAAGTCAGATAGCTTACCTCTCCGTATACGTCTGACACCAATAGCCAGAGACTTCATAAACAGATGCCATATCTTCGTCTGGCCACTCTGAGCTCCTTCTCAACCCAGTCCGGACTCTTAATATTGCACCCTGAGGTAGGCAGTGTCTCGATATGTCCAGGCCACCTCAATCGCAAAAGTTTACAACCTCATCGACCAACTTGCCTGTCTTGTATAGTGCCCTTCACTTAACCTCGACACTGCTAACATCGTCCCATCATACGCCAATAATGCTACGAAGACACCTATGGTCAAAAACTTGAAGTCTCTTCATATCTTTTACTAACAGTGGTTATGTCTCAGCCGTATAACGTGATAGAATGGACTGCACCGCAGTATACTCATCCCTTAACATGTGGTCAGTCGAATATCTAGCAAATGATAAACACATGCCAAACACACATTTCCACTCAACGCGATCGGAACACTCTGGAGTTTGTTAGCGTTCCCAACTAGCACGACAATGTCGTTTGCGTACTCAGACACTAGATCGAACCCTGTGACGTCAGACGTACCTAAGGTTATTTCGATTCACACAGCTGCGATGAAATTAAACGGGAACAGTGGCAGAAGGCATCCTCGATGGTCATCATCATCATCATTATCAACATAGGACCAGGCATTACTGCGTAACGGTCCGAGTTGCCACACCTCATATCAGCACATCAAGTAAAAAGGTAGTGAGGTGAAGGATGAAGATAAGTGAATGCAGTCAAAAGAAATATAAAGTATGAGAAGAAAGGAAAGAGGAGTGACAAAATAGTGAGATTCGGTATAGCGAATCCTCGATGGACAACACTAGTTGTCGTCAATTCAGATGACAACTTCCCATGAACCCTTCAACGGCTGTAGGAGTTCGAGTAGAGAGCTTTGATTAGCGTTACATACTTCCACGGCACTCCCTTACCAGTCAGACACTGCCATAGCACCTAACGGTCGACAAAGTAGAGTGCACGCTTCAGTTCAACAAATATGACGAGTATTAACCACCAGTAGGTAAGTATACCTGCGTCCCAGAACCTATCGAAGGGTGAAAATTTGATCGATGTACCACCGTCCAAACCACAAACCTGACTGCTTTCCTCGAGTTCATTGTTCTTTAGCACGCCAGGTATCGGAAAACTATTGACCTTGGGATCTTGGATGCGATGTCGGCCTAAGCGATGACACGTTGTTTCTCCTTATGTTTGAAGTTAGTGCTAGACAGAAACAAGTGGTTGTCCATTCATCAGCATGAAATGCCATGGATACTTCGAAAATGCTTTTCCAATTGACTCAGCTTTCTACACGTACATATACACAGTGGAGGAGTATACTGTACTTATGATGTCTCACGAGGAGTTTATTGTGTACAATCATACATATTATGATTATGTACTGATCATTTCACTTACTCGGGGAGCTGCATCAGTCTAGATGGGTAGGTTACTGATGAAATCTCAGCTTGTCTGTTCGGCCCTTGTTAAATTTTGTCATCTCTAGTGTTAGAGAGATATTTGCCTACTAAATAAAAAGTCTATTGCGCTGCGAGTTCACGGCTAAGAAATCATCGTACCAACAAGTTTAAGACTAGAAGTTTTCATAGCTCTGCTCGTGCGTGTTGGAATCACCAAGCCATGATGCTCAGTGTAGACTACTAGGTAATAAGAAATGAACCTTCACCGATGGAAATGGGTTGAACACGAGTTATGTATGCAAAGTCACTTTTGCCAACTTAAACGTCAACCGTTTTCAAACGACCTCTGGACGGAGATGTGAAGTGTGGCGACTTGAAATAATGCACGCCTGTGGCAAATTCTACACCAATTCGCCTGTTCGTTAATTTTTACAAAATCTCATATTCAGACTATGATAATAACCTACAGTCTTTATTAAACAAGCATTCACACAACCACACGTCAACAAACATGATGCTCACTAGGATGGTGTGTATAAAATCACATCTAAATGCTTATATCAAGTTGTAAGATGTTGGAAGGCTCAACTGCCACAGATGTCAAGTCCGAATAGGCCACTGAAGTTATAACAGACACTTCATCATCCTGTCGACTTTGATCCCGAAATTCCTTTGCTATTTTGATTAACTCAGTACAGTGACGACACATGAACCTCGACCGAGGTGGCTAGATTTTTAAGAACACAACACACCAGTGAACAACAATAGATTATAGCAGTGAAATACAATAGAAACAAGTGCAACTCTTGGTATTATTCAAAGAATATTTTTGTATGTTTAGTGTGGCATAAGCGATAGAGGTAATTAATTTTGTTTCATAAAAAGTAGCATTGGCTCACATGTTCGCAAATACATGAACGGAAAAAATAAACCAACCTGTCTCACTAAAACTGAGTCCATTAACTTGTGCTTGCCTATGCCATTATTCAATCTGGACATTGGTACGCAAACGAGACCTGGACCAACCGACCAAGACACATGTTTGTCAGAAGGTCCTGATAATTCTAGTACCATTCCCGGTATAACTAAACGATCAACAAAATTTTGATAACTCGAGTCGTTTGAAGACGACTGAAGCCGTGCTCCACGTATGATATTGTCAATAGTTGCTAAACTCATTACTCAGTTGATAGGTTTCTACAACATCAGTAAAAAAGCGGAAGTAAAATATTACAAACTGATGGTTTACCACGCGAGTTTACATCCTACTGGGAAAATCTTATCACGTTATCACAAGAACACAGCATTATGAAAACTGAACCATAACTTATTATTGAGGTGATATACCATGAATTTATGTTTGCGTATATAAACCTGTAGCGTCACACACTTCCCAAAATCAATAGCCTAGGGTTTGACGACTTTCGACATCGATGCTGACCTTGATAGTTTAACTGGACTTGCTAAGCCGAAGGCACCCGGTCAAGCATCCTCGTCATTTGGCACGCTGTCGTGTTACGTTACACTGCTCGTATTCGACTCTCTAGCCAGTTAGTTGGAACGCATCAGTATCTTGGCACAACCATACAAATATACTATTCCATCCGACTACTCCATCGTGTTCTTCCTTAGTCTCGTATTCGTGGGTATATAACAAGTCCGAATAATTAGTGATTGGTCTTTGCGTATGTCAAGTTCGCACCAGGACAAATCCTAAAAACCAATAGAATTGTTTAAACTACCAAAAAAGCATATATAGCTGATTATTAAGTTGATAAACAAGCAACAAGACACTATCCCGCAGACCAAAAACTTTGTCAGATAAAGTTCACTTTACCTAAGGGAAAGACATGAGAATCCTTGGTAAAAATGCAGCAAGACGAACACAAACAAGCGGCAGGCGTGTTGAGAACAGTAAGAACCCAACAGGAATGAACTTTATGGACAATCACGTAAAACAGTTAGAAACATCTAGTGACAATAAGATAAGCAGTATAAAGTATCCGATGTCTATTTGCACGATACAAACCAACACGCCTAGTGTTGTATTTTCGAAAGTGCCTCTCTTTCTTACTTAAAACGTCCAACGTTACATGGAACTGAGCTTGAAATACCGTTGCAGTGACCTTAAAACCTCAAACTTCGTGTTGTAGAATTAGTGAATGGCGGTTCCTTGGGTTCTACGTCCGCCTAATTGGATTATGTTCTGAATTTGGAATGGTCACAATTATCTTCCCGGTTCTGAAAAACCTGAAAGGATGAAGATACGATTAATTAATGAATCTGGTCTGAAGTTAGCATTACTGCATCTGAACCGCAGAAAGCTTCTCGAGTAAAGCCCATCGGTACAGTAGGACTAGAGGTGTGCGTCTAGCCTCCTTTTAAAGGCATCAGGGGATGGAGCTGTAACAACTGCTGAAGGGAGGGAATTCCACAGTTTACAGACTAACTGCAAATGAGTTAGCACAGACCTTTGTACGTGCGCTCCCATGCTGTATTCTTAAAGGGTGGCCCCTCGAGTCTCATTTCCGACTGAAGCTTAGAAGGGATCTGTTGGGATGGAGGGGATTATGGGCGATGTGGTACATCACGATCATATCCCCTCTGATCCTCCGGTGTTGTACTGGGTGCAGCTGAAGAACAACTAAGCCGTCCGGGTACGGTTTGTGCCGTAACCCAATCACTTTCTTTGTAGCTCTTCTCTGTACCCGTTCTAGGATGGCTATGTCCTTTTTCAAGTATGGGGACATTATAAGCGACTTTTTTCTAAATGAGGAGGACTGTACGGAGCGTATATTGTGATGAAAAGAGAAGGAGTTAGACGCCCTAAGGTTCGCTACAGAAACCCCAGGATTCCATAAGCCCCACTGGCTGCAAGGCGACAGTGAACTGAGGCTCCTAGCTCATCATTTAGTGTAACTCCCAGATCCTATGCCACGCAAGAGTGACAGATATTTATTTCACCTTGAAACACTCATACTGCTATGAAACGGATAAGTATATATCTCATGATATTTGGGTAAAAATTCGATGTTATGAGGACGTATAAAGTTTTGTTTGATAGGTTTGCACTCATCATCAACTCTACTAGATTTTCAGCCTGCCCATTTATCTGTGCATATCCGCCCAACTGCTCCTGTGGAGCCGAGCATGGTGGTCTTTCAACGAAGGTCATGTACGAAAGATATCAAAAATACTATCGTGAATGGCTAAAAGAGGTAGTAGCGGATTTACGAGAATTGTGACAGTGAAACACGCTGACGACACCGACTCAATCTTAACAACCGCCTCTTTCATAGTTATTTAGTTATTTACAAAGTCAGGAGAAACTTGTCGAGGTCAGTGAGCATCCGCCTTTTCTGAATCATCGGAGATTTAGCAACTTGCTTGCAGAAGGCGGAGCTGTGCACATGTAGCTGCAAATACTTCTTCAAAATCAATTTGCCCACGCTTCGACAAGATTCAACATTCACTCTGACCTTCATAGTTTTAGCGGACTCGTTGGGCTGAAAGTACACGATCAAGCATTCGGACCATTCAACACTCTGTCTTGTTACATCGTGCTGCCCGCTCGTGGACCTGTAGTCAGTTGGTTGGAATGCATCGGTATTTTGGCACTGGCTACCAATTATGCCATTCAGCCTAGCTACTGTATTGTGCTCCTTCTTGGTCTCGCACTCATAGGCATGTGACAAGTAGGAATTATTAGTGGCTTGCCTTCGGATCTTTCAAGCCCGCGTAAGATCAATCCCCAAGAAGAAACTTGTCAGACCCTTGCTTATTCAGTCATTTTTATCGATCCAATACATGCCTCCTTCTGATCCTTACTTTTTACGCAGTCCTTACATATTACCAGGTGTTCACTGTTGCTATGCTCGCCTTGCTAAATGCTGATTAATTATATATTGTCATGTTGCGCAACCAGTTTTTGAAACTTAATCGCTTCTACTCAAATCCTATGACATCTTGAGTTATACTCACTGAGTAACTCTGCAAATCCAGATCATGAAACCTCAACTTTACTTGTCACGATTCCATCTGATTACTTTTTGAAACTCACAGATATTTTGGTTACTTTAGAATGGAAACGGTATTTGGATTATTATACGTATTATTCTGCTCGTTGCCGTACTAAATAAGGCTCTTCCACGTGTGAGAAAATTGTACTTTATAGCAAAAAATTATTGATGAATGGAACTGTACAACTTGTTGGATGAATTTGCCGAAAAAATCTCTCCTCTCAACCGATTCTTCCATTTTCTTATGTGTCTGTGATCATTTTTCGAGAAAGAAAAAGTAGCAGGGATCCTGTGCTACCACCATAACTTACCACCTTGCAAGTCGGTAGGAAATTTAGGAAGAAGCACCATGGTAAATGGCAACAGGCTCTAAAGTGTATGACCATAGATCAGACGACCATTCCTGAAATGCTTAGCACGAACTGCAGGTCGTTGCCGAATAAAGTTTATTACCTTCAGTCACTCTTGTCCACAAATGTTTATCAAAACACGGGTGTGATAATGCTGCAGGAAACATGGCTTCATAACTTGTATGATGATGATTTAGTCTGCTTAGATGGTTTAAAGTCACTCCGAAACGATCGAAGCTTTTCGAAGAAGAAATATGTTAGTGGTGAAGCAGCATTTATTTGTGCAAACTGGTCCTCGTCCAACTATGTATGCCTCTGCTTCTCTGGTGAAAAAATTGGGTGCATAACCATTAAATGTCATCCCAAACACTTGAGCAACTACAAATACATATATAGAACAAATATGTATGTCATGCCGAACTGTAGTTTCTCAGATTTGTCAACTTTTGCTGGTAAGTTCACTCAGTTTGCTGCTGCGGTTCTGGGACACTCCTTTTCTATTGTCTGTGGAGATTTTAACTCATGTGACTGCAGTTTTCTATTATCATTGGGTCATAAAAATATGGTTAACTTTTCTGCTCGTCTTGACAAAACACCAGACTTTGCATTTACAGATGAACCTGGCATATATGAGGTCCGTAAACGGGCCCGGCTGCCGAATTCCGACCCCCGTATTGTTCGCATTTCGTCCAAAGTGTACGGCAAATTATACAAGAGGGCCTTCGGATACCTTTCCAGGAAGTTTCAATGCAGGTGCTATTTGCAGGAAAATGTATTACTTTTGAGAAGCATGCCCATAGAAAAGGACTGCAATATATTTGCCGATGAAGTTTTAGACAACACTATCACCGATATCACAAGCTATCTCAGATTCTGTCTCGATATCTGCTGCCCTGTTGAAACAATTTACATAAGAATTGACAGACTTCCCTCTCCATATCTCGAGAGGCCCGGAGAGAAAAAGAAAGGTCGTATAAGGCTAGAGATCACCCTGGAGTTAAAAGGCTTAACTGTCTGATTAGGTCTGAATACCATATACAACCAGAAGTTCCTATCGTGTGAGAATTCTTTCAATTTACGGAAAGTATTTAAAGAGCTTGCTGAGGAAAAACAGATGATAACACAAACTCGTTCGGATGTCTGTGGGTTAAACAAGTCATTTTTACGTCGGCAGGTTAATTTCACCCCTCTCAATGTCCAAAGTCAAGTGGATAGCTGCTTTCCAGGTTTTAATACGAATTATGTACTTAAATGTCTAAAGTCCTTGAATCCCTCCCAAATCTTAGGGCCTGATGGTGTTTTTAGTATTATATTCAGAAAATGCGCAGATATTTTATGTCATCCAGTTACAGATATGTCCAATGTATCGTTTTCTAAAAACAATTCCCAGTGCTTGGAAGCAGATAAAAATTGTACCTGTAATAAGTCATCTTCTGGATGAGATGTTACTTTTCGACCCATCGCCTTAACTCCCCCTTTTCTGAAGACAACGGAGAAATTACTTCTCCTTGTGATTGAGCCTTCATTGATGGCTTTCAGAGATCCAAAACAGTTTCCCTACGAATACTGAAGGAGTACTTTAGATGCAGTTACTCTCTTGCATCATAATATTATTTTCAGTCTCGACAAAGGTGTTAAGTATGTTCTTCGTGCCCTTTTGAACTACTCATCAATCTTTGACTCTGTTCCTAGACTACTTTTGTTAAACAACCTTACCATAGCTCACACAAAGCCGTGGGTTAAAAAGTGGCCGCATTCTTATTTTTCTGAAAGGAAGCAGTACACTATCCATAAAGGGGTGCACTCAACT